TGACTTGTTTGATCAGCTTCAGGGAGCGTCTTGGTTCTCCAAGATCGATCTACGCTCCGGTTATCATCAGATGAGGGTTAGAGATGAGGATGTACAGAAGACTGCTTTCAGGACCCGGTATGGTCATTATGAGTTCGTGGTGATGCCATTTGGGCTCACCAATGCCCCAGCCGCATTCATGGATCTCATGAACCGCGTGTGCAGACCGATGCTGGATCGGTCGGTGATAGTGTTTATAGATGACATCTTGGTGTATTCCAAGACACAGGGGCAGCACGAGGAGCACCTGCGGGAGGTGTTGGAGACTTTGAGGAGGGAGAGACTTTTCGCAAAGTTCTCCAAGTGTGAGTTCTGGTTGCGCGAGGTGCAGTTTCTTGGTCATCTCGTCAACCAGAAGGGTATTTTGGTAGATCCGGCCAAGATTGAGGCCGTGATGCAGTGGGAGGTCCCGAGGTCTCCATCTGAGATTCGGAGCTTCCTGGGGTTGGCAGGGTATTATCGGAGATTTATTCAGGACTTCTCCAAGATAGCAGTGCCGCTCACCCGACTAACCAAGAAGTCGGTGGTTTTTCGTTGGGGGCCTGAGCAGCAGGCGGCGTTCGAGACTCTCAGGCAGAGATTGTGCGAGGCTCCGATCCTTACCTTGCCAGAGGGAGTAGAGGATTTCGTAGTCTATTGTGATGCTTCGATCACAGGTATGGGAGCAGTATTGATGCAGCGAGGCCATGTAGTAGCTTATGCCTCGAGACAGTTGAAGCCTCACGAGGCTAATTATCCTACCCACGATTTGGAGCTGGGGGCAGTTGTGTTTGCCCTCAAGATTTGGAGACATTACCTTTATGGGGTCCGCTGTACTATTTACACGGATCACAAGAGTTTGCGATATCTTATGGATCAGCCGAGTTTGAACATGAGACAGAGGAGATGGTTAGACGTGCTGAAGGACTATGACTGTGAGATCCTTTATCATCCAGGGAAGGCCAATGTGGTGGCCGACGCCCTGAGCCGCAAGGTGTCGACGGCCCCTATCAGAGATCTGTGTATGAGGATGACAGTGATCACTCCGTTGTTGGAGCGGATCAAGGAGGCTCAGATGGAGGGCCTCAAGGAGGAGAGGCAGAAGTGTGAGAGGATAGTGGGCCGAGTAGCTTCATTTGATTACGACAGTCGGGGTTTGTTGACACTTCATGGTAGGATATGGGTACCGTACTGGGGTGGGGTACGGCAAGTATTGATGGACGAGGCTCATAAGTCTCGTTTTCTATCCACCCAGGAGCGACGAAGATGTATCGAGATCTTCGATCTGATTATTGGTGGCCCTGCATGAAGCGAGATGTCGCTTGGTATGTGGAGAGATGTTTGACCTGTCGGAAGGTCAAGGCGGAGCACCAGAGACCTCACGGCAAGATGCAGCCGTTAGACATTCCCGTGTGGAAATGGGAGGACATCACCATGGATTTTGTCACCAAACTCCCTAGGACCGCACGCGGGGTGGACTCGATATGGGTAGTAGTGGATCGGTTGACGAAGAGTGCCCATTTTATTCCGATTCAGGAGAGTATATCGGCGGAAAAGTTAGCCGATATCTATGTGCGAGAGATTGTGGCACGTCATGGAGTGCCGGTATCGGTGGTGTCGGACCGAGATGTTCGTTTCACGTCCAGATTCTGGAAGCGATTCCACGACGAGATGGGTACTCGTCTCCATTTCAGCACCGCTTTTCATCCTCAGACTGACGGGCAGAGCGAGAGGACGATTCAGACTCTCGAGGACATGCTTAGGGCATGTGTTCTAGATTTTGGGGGCAGTTGGGATACGTATCTTCCGTTAGCGGAATTCTCGTATAACAACAGTTATCATGCGAGCATTGATCGACCTCCTTTTGAGATGTTATACGGCAGGAAGTGCAGGACCCCGATTTGTTGGGGCGAGGTCGGTCAGCGAGTCATAGGGAGCACCGAAGTGGTGCTCAAGACGACGGAATTGATCCAGCAGGTCCGTAGTAGGCTGCAGACTGCGCAGAGTCGGCAGAAGAGCTACGCCGACAGGAGGCGTTCGGACTTGGAGTTCCAGGTGGGAGATATGGTTCTTCTGAAAGTCTCACCTTGGAAAGGTGTCATCAGGTTCCGGAAGAGGGGCAAATTGGGCCCCAGATTTATTGGTCCCTTCAGGGTTTTGGCCCGGGTGGGTCGGGTTGCTTATCGGTTAGATCTTCCTGAGGAGCTTAGTCTGATACACAACACCTTCCACGTGTCGCAGTTGAGGAAGTGTTTGGTGGATGAGACAGCAGTCGTTCCCTTAGAGGACATTCAGGTTGATAGCGGCCTAAATTATATCGAGAAGCCGGTCGCGATTCTGGAACGGAAGACCAAGACCTTGAGGAACAAGGTAATTCAGCTAGTAAAGGTGCAGTGGCAGCACCGGAAGGGGTCTGAATGGACGTGGGAGGCTGAGGAGGAGATGAGAGCGCACTACCCGGAGTTATTTGCAGATCCAGCCGTAGCAGACTTCGAGGACGAAGTCTGAGACAAGTGGGGGAGAATTGTAACGACCCGTTCCCGGTATGTTGATTTATTGGTAATTATAGTGAGTTTTTCAAGAGGGACTCGGCGAGTTCTAGCCTGACTCGCCGAGTAGGGTCGCGTCTGAGGGCACGCGTGAGCCGGGGACTCGACGAGTCCATATCCCGACTCGGCGAGTCCATCTGTCTGGGTGAAACCCTAAAATCCCCGGGTTGCCCACTATTTATACCACCTTATAGCCCCCATTCTCGCCTCCCTCACCCTGAGAACGCAGTGATAGAGCCCCAACCTCCATTGAAGAGCTTATATGTGTTTTGGTGCCATTTTGTGAAGGTGTGAAGAAGGAGAAGAAGGAAGAAGCAAGGAGAAGTGTTGTAGTGCAAAGATCCAAGGCCAAATCAGAGTTAATTGAGGTATTTTCGGAGTTCCATCTTGTTATATGCTTTAAACTTCCATTAGAGCTCTCCTAAGAGCTAGTTGATGCTTGTTCCAAGCCTTACACTTGCATGAACGTCTTATTAAGTCGATATATCTATGGATCTGAATGTTGGGGTGTTGTAGAGCCCAGATCTACTGTCTTTTTGGAGTTATATTGCATGATAACCATAGATCTACCCATTTTATGCATCTTTTAGCCTTATTTCCCTTATTCATGAGGTTGTGCACGTAAAGTTGGAAACTTTACGTGGTAAAACAGCTTATTGGACTCAGATCTATCAATTGTATGCATTGGATTCAAACAAAATCAAGTAAAAATCAGTTGCATGGCGGCGACTCGGCGAGTCGGAAGAACGACTCGACGAGTCGGTCGCGAGTCCCGAGTCCTTCAGTTTTATCAGTGTCGAGTGGACGAGGTGAGTCAGGAAGTGGACTCAGCGAGTTGAGAGTAGACTCAGTGATGGAGGGACTCGACGAGTTTGTTCATACAACTCGGCGAGTCCAAGGCAATCTTCTTGGGATCAAGAACAACTCGTCGAGTCTGTTCATACGACTCGGCGAGTCGGATGAAGATTGTCTGAGTTCTTGGATCAAGAGGGTACTCGTCGAGTCGATGCCAGACTCGACGAGTAGCAGTGAGTAAGAGTGAAAAGTGAGAGTGGGACTCGGCGAGTTGGGTGCCCAACTCGGCGAGTCAGCCCAAAAGGAGAGTTGACTTTGACCGAGGGTAAAAGAGTCATTTTACCCCAAGCGCAGTGTTTAGTATTTGATTGAGTGTGTTTATGGACTTGTAGCCGAGGAGATTCAGGAGCAGCCGCCGTTAGCTTCCGAGCCACACACTCAGCAGCCAGCTTACGAGGTGAGTTTCCTTCCAGTAGGAACGGGTCTAAGGCCACAATGCCGGCCCGTTCAGTTAGCAGTAGTTTCCGGATTTAGGTCCGATGCAGTAGTTGGTATGTTCGATGCCTTCGTGGTTCGAACAGGATTGTGTGCTATGTTTTATGTGTTAAGTACTATGTGTTCCGGGCCACGGCCCGATGTAGCATGTCGTATATGTGTTATGCTAGTTGATGTGTTATGCGATGCCATGTTCAGTCAGACAGTTCCGGACTTCGGTCCGATGCAGTTAGTTCCGGACTTCGGTCCGATGCAGGGGACAAGGTCCCAGTCAGTTCCGGACTTCGGTCCGATGCAGTTAGTTCCGGACTTCGGTCCGATGCAGGGGACAAGGTCCCAGACAGTTCTGGACTCCGGCCCGATGCAGTTCCGGACTTCAGTCCGATGCAGTTCCGGGCTTCGGCCCGATGCAGTGGGCAAGGCCCAATATGTGTTTATGTGTTATTGTATGGTATGTGGTAGTTTGGGGGAGCTCACTAAGCTTCGTGCTTACAGTTTCAGTTTTGGTTTCAGGTACTTCCGCAAGCAAAGGGAAGAGCTCGGGGTGACAGCATCGCACACACCGCATCATAGCTTTTATCCTGGGGATGTCTCTTGATGTTTTGGATTGATGTAGTATGATACAGTTTTCCGCACAATATTTTATTATGTTTCGGGGATACATCGCGTGTGTTTATGTTATAATACTTATATTATGGTTTTGATTATATGGAAAAACGAAAATTTTTGGGTCGTGTTTTTGGGTCGTTTCATATATTCACTTATGAATATTACACAGTATATTCACATATAAATATTATAAGGTATATTCACTTGTGAATATATTCACTTGTGAATATATTCACTTATGAATATTTGAAGGTATTTTGACAAATATATATAATTTTTCTATGTTATTCACATATGAATAACATACACACTTGCATATTTGTTTTGTACTTTAATAATCATATACTGATTCAGGTGAGAAAACATATTCATATGTGAATATAACGTGGTAATTTAGTTTATGCATTTCATCAAACAGTTGGAGTGCATACAAGTTAACTATTTTTAAATTGTTAAAAACATCAAATTATCAATTCCAAATCATCATATACTTCCGATTTCGACTTTATATGCGACATCCTATGTCTGATCGATTTCTCATTTTGATTTTGATTTTCGAAAATCCGATTGGGAACCTATGAGATCCGATTCTGAGTCCTTCAATGTCGACTATGACTGCGAGTCTAGAACTTCGATTCCAATTTCATGAACAGCGAAGAAATTCCGGTTTAATTGAAGAAATCTGGATGATTATTGAAGGTTGGAGGAAAAATTTTGATAATGAACGAACTTTTATCGAACTCTCTGTAGTTACGTATTTGAGATTGAAGGTTATTTATATATTTACAAGTTTGTCACCGTGTTTTTTTATTCTTAGATTAAATAAGTGGCTGAGAATGATTCCTCCATTCTCAACCTTTTTTATTTTCTCAATTAAACCCACCGAGGATGATAACAAAAATGGAGCAATTGAGTATCACATCAAATACAGAGAATTGTGATAGGAGAGATCAATTCCAAAAGGAGAAATGAACACCGAGCAGATTACACAGAAGTGACTCCCTATCCCTACACAGAACATGCAATGTCCTTGCATTTATACTAAATTTAACCAACAGAAATATATCACAAAAAAATTCTATTTTAAAATGTACCTGTTAGCTTGTTAGTCGCATTTTATAGCTGCATATAGGTAACGAACAAAGAGCAACGAGGCATTGAAACCCACACTTCCAAGTATAAGAAATATTCCCAAACATGCACAACCCATATATCCAAAGAAAAAGGACGTCTGCATGAAACCATTCATGTCCGATCTCTCGAAATAATAATAGATGCAATAAACATATACGTACAATCCAGTAGATCCACCACACAAAAATGACCTGTGTCAAATAAAAAACTCTTATTAGTTATTACTTATAACGTATTAGCTCATGCATATAGCAATTCAAGACCATAATCAGTAATCACACCAACTATATATTTAAACGTACCTCCACCACCATTGATGATCTTCAGCAGCAAGCTGGAAGTATGTCAGTGCCACAGAAACTAAAGCAGTCATGATGAGAAGAAGAAAGAAGACTATGGACAGAATACTATAAAGTGTATAAACGCGATGTCCCCAAACACTTGCAAATATGTAATACAACTGAATATAGATAACACTGAAAGGCAAAATTCCTGCTAAAGCCATCTGAGGAAGAACACCCCTATACCAACGCAGCTTAGGAACCTCTCTAGGAATTTTAGCGGTTTTGCAGGGAGCTTGGAATTCAGACATTCTGGTTTTCCCAATAATGCCTCCTAAAAGAAGCAATGGTGATGCTATGAATATCCACAAGAGAGATAACATGACTATTGCTTTCAATGGTAATGCAGTAGTTGATCCATAAAATGTTGCAACAATGTCTAGGAAAGTAAAAGTAACAAAGAGAGGCCCAAAATATAATGCTCCTGTGAGTATTAGGTTCTTCATCTGTCAAGTCGAAAAAAGAGAGAGAGAGACAATCAGTTTAAGTGAATAAAAATTCCTCAAAATCATGTGTCAAACTAAGTTTTGATATTTTCACATACCCAGTTTGTTCCTTCGAGTTTACAATAGAAGGAAACAGAAGTATATCCGGAGACCAAAGATGTTAGTGCATATAAAATGATAAGTGTTTTCCAGAGTACTCCTCGCATATAGGGCTGAAAAACACCTACGAGACCTAGAGCAAGAAATGCTACGATACTGCAATTGTGACAAAAGAATGGTTACAAAAGTAGTAAGTAAATTTTTTCGAAAAAAAATCAAATATTTCACGACATATGAATGTATTTTTCAATATATGAATTTGTATTTCTCAATAAAAGATTGTATTGGGCAATATATTACCATTTATATTCTCAAAAAATAATGTATAAAGGTGTTTTTTTATGTAGTCGGACCACTCAAAAGGCAATTTCACAATTTGCAATTGGACCCATTGCAAAATAATATATTTTAAATGAGATGTACCATTTTAGTAATTTTTTTTGTTTATATTTAAAATAATAAGAGCACAAGTAGGCAAGCTTCATGTTTGAGATGCTTAATAAAGTATCATATTCTTTGAAGATACTCACACTACAAGCAACTGGCTTCCAGCACCAAGAGCCGCAGAAAATAAAGACTTGTGTTGTGGGAATCTAAATACATCGCCATGAACATTCTTCCATCCTATCTCTTCTTGATTACTTATCACTTGATCCTCTTCTACATCGATTGAGTTCCTTTCATTTTTCATGCATTGGGAAAACAAGAAAGGCAACACAAGAGTTATTCTATTTGACAAACATAACAAACACAATAAGTTGAATACGCAAACTTATTTTTTGTGAGTAGAATCAATACTTGGAAATGTCTTTGCGAAGGACTAGTAAGTAAAATGTGAGTAAGGAAATGATGAGAATGAGGAGTATGACACTTGAGTATGTAATTGAGTGATGATGTATAGACAAGTGGTGAGGTAAAATGGAAGAACCAATGTATTTCTCCATTCTCCTATCAAATGATTGTTGTGTCATTTTCCACTTAACAGAGTATGTAAACCCCACATCAACTTCCTTGTCTTCGGTAATGTCTGTAAATGAATATGTAGGCATTCGGAGATTGACCTCAATAACATGATCCTTATTATAAAAAACTTGGAAATCAAAATGTCTGTAAAGGGAATACTCTGTTTCGATCCTTCCATATCCGTTATTTCTTAACATTCCAATAAAAGCCCACATTGGTAAGTCATCATAGTATAATTGCGTATAGTAGTCCTTCTCTATAGCCCTTTTGAACTTAGAAACATCTGTTTTACTCAGTGTCTTATTGCATAATACTTCAAAATCTTTATCCACAAGGAATTCAAGCTTATATGGAGTTGAAACAAGATGATCTCCATTCAACATCTCTCCTAAATTAGGCGTCTTCTCTTTGACAACATCTGTTATTAGAGAAGTTAAAATGACTGAAAGAGAACAAAAGAAAGACCCCACACATTCATGAAAGAATTAAGTACCTTGAGAACAAAATGGAAGTTCATAATAAGCATATGTTTCTCTGAAAACAAAGTAAACAAGAATAAGAAGACACAAACACACACACACACAACTTTGGAGGAGATGTGTCTAACCTAGAATTATGGAATGGGGCTATTTTGTTGGCATATAAGGGGATTGTATCACCTTCACTGTAGCTATGATCAGAGGCATCTGATTCTACTTGGATTCCAAGGTAGATCAGTAGAAGTATAAGAAAAGGGTATTTTCGTAATTGTACCATTCCTGTTGATCTGTAAATTAAAGTGAGAAAACATGAGCAATTGTGATACCAGAAATCAGAGATATCACTACAGAGCATCTTGCAAGTAATACAAAATGGGGACAGAGTCGAATGATATTACGTTAAAAAGTTACAAGAATCTTTGTGGATTTTGGAAAAGTTGAAGATTGGACTAAAAGAATTCTAGGTTTTGTGTGATAGAATATTTTGTTTGGATTGTTTCTCATTGTTACATAAACAAATAAACAGATTCTTCATTCTTCTATGTCTCATACATTTAGGCGTTTTGTGTGTTAAACAATACTTTCACAAGAAAATTCATTAAGGCGTTGCTAATTCTTTTCAAAAACAAATAGTCGAGACCCTGTTTTTGTCAATTCAATGGAGTATTCGATAAACGAATGTAATTATTGCGACAAGAATAATCAAAAACCAAGCTCAAAAGTGAATCGTGGTATCAAGATATGAACCAATCAAACATAAGTAATTATCCAAAACAACCAGTTCAACTGAAATTACAAAGAACGTGGGATGATGAGTGAAAGAGAAAGAGAGCACCTTTTACAGTGAAGAAGCACGATGCGATGATGGAAAAGTTCTGAACTGGTTGGAACCAGAAGTAGTGTCGGGGATGGAGAGACGACTTTGACTTTGACTCTTAACTTTGTTCAGCCAATAGTTAAATAATGCACTAGTCTCATATGCTGGTCGTTACTTGTTCAAATTATTTTGAGGAAGTTAATAATGTTTAGTTTATTTTTTTATGATATTTATAAAATGATAATCAGCTTTTGTATATGAACTATTTTGATATTTCAAATTTATTCGAACTATTTTACCATTATATATAGACAAAATTTCACAATTGGTCCCTATGGTTTACAGAATGTCACATTTTAAGGATTTCCTATCAAAAAGGAACGCGAATGGTTCCTATGGTTTGTAAAACTACATGAAATGTCCTTCTGCTGTTAAAATCTAACTTTTCAGTTGTTAGATTTTAATGGAAAAAATTATTTTGCCCTTCTACCAATATTACAATACATTACAAACCTCAAGGACCATTCGTGTAATTTTATAAATTTGAAATTTTATAACTTGATAACCTTTTTTTTTTTTATTTATCTTTTTGACATTTTATATTTCTATTTTTATTTCATAATTTTGGTTATTTATGGTTTTTTTATGTTTTTGTTTATTTTAATTCAAGTAAATAAACTTAAGTTCGGTAAACCATATCAAAAGAACCAAAATAATACGAAATATTTTGTAGTGATACATTGTAACAACTGCACACTTAATTACTGGTGTACATCAGAAAAAGAAGGAAAAAGGAACTTAAAATACCAAGAAAAAAGAACCAGTGTCTTGAGTTATCGACGTAGAAATATCAATTCGTGAACTTCCGACGTAATCCCCAAATCCAACAGCTGTAGCACCTGATGGTAGCAGCGAAGCTACTAAACTGCTATCAATCGATTTCAAAATCATTAATTTAAAAAAAATCAAACAAAACATGTGGCGTATCTTCTTGTGAAGGAAAGAGAGTCAAGTTTCTAATTGCCTGCCGCTAGAAGGACAAGCTTTGCTTCTTGCTGCCTCTCCTTTCTGTCTACCCATCTTCTTATGACGAACAAACCTGGGTTTTCACGGTGGAAGACGGTATCGACGATGGCTGTTGTTGGCAATGATGGAAGTGTGGAACGAAGGTTTTAAAACCTGACAGTGGTCAACGATTTCAAGGCCTTTTATGGTGATGGTGATGAAAACGATGGTTTTGTAGGGTTTAATCGATATCTTTATTTTAGGGGATATTAATTGAATGATTTCTTTTACCATAATTAAATGTGTTAAAATTACCAAAATACCCTTTTTATATTTATTTGTTATTTAATTTATGCTAATTTTTTGATTGGTGCGTTTAGGAACACAATAGTTGTTAGAAACATTTGAACCTACTTCTCACTCCCTCTCTCCCCCCCCCCCCTCTCTCTCTCTTTATATATATATATATATATATATATATATATATATATATATATATATATATATATATAGAGAGAGAGAGAGAGAGAGAGAGAGGGAGAGTCAAGATCAAATAAGAAGGAAATTTTTGGTAGGAAGGTAAGAAGTTTTTTTTCTATATACTTTTTTCGCGAACAAACAAAATGAATCATTAGATGATTCATTTGTAAGATGATTCACAAGAAAAAATTCTCAAAAAAACATTTCGATGATTCATTTATATAATGATTTTGTTGTTATTCACTAAAATTGTCATAAAAGTGAATTTTTCCTTAATTTACTTAAAAATGAATCATATAGATGTTTTTTTGAGAATTTTTTCTTGTGAATCATCTTACAAATGAATCATCTAGTGATTCATTTTTTTTGTTCGTTAAAAAAATATGTAGAAAAAAAAAACTTCTTACCTTCCTACCAAAAAAAATTTCTTACCGGATCTATATCATATATATATATATATGTTCAAATGAGAACAATTCTAAATTTGAGAACATTTGAGAACAAATTTAGACTATTAAACACGAGTCACTTTCTTTTTTTCTTTCTACTTGTCGACACAACACCCCATTTCTGTCTCTACATTCTCTTATCTTCAATAATCAATCTACCTTGCCTCGACCTGCAACGCCATTGCAACATTCGCTAGTTTCACCGACGAAGCCTATCGCCACCATCGATTCTATCATCTCCGAGTTTGGATCAAGTTTTAACATCTTTCTCATAGACGATGAGAGGAATTCACTTCAAGGTTGGTAACAATTTTGATTTCAAGTATTTAACCATCGATTTACTGAATGAAAATCAGTGTACTCAATCTATGTCACTGTACCTATTGTCAAAATGCTAGAAACATTTAGCGAAGGTAGAAATGGAGAGCAAAGCGAGTGACGATTCAGTTTTGCGCAATGGTAACTTGTAATTCCTTTGTCTCTATTTTGTTCCTTGTTGGCATCTCATATTTAGTACTCTCCAATTTATAATTACTATTATTAATCAATCTTTTGTGCAAATTTTTGTTTTTTATTGGAGAACACAATAAACTTTATGATTTTGATTGAAAACGAACATATATTTACTCAAAAAGAGAGTTGAGATCTGTGTAGACTTTGATACACACAAGGTGTTTGTGAAAGGGTCTGAAAAAAACTAATATTAAATTTATTTATAAAAGACAAAATGCACTTTTATTTTGTACGACAATTAAGTTGTTTCTTATTATTCCCCAACCACAATCATGTTTAGCATATGACGCCCCTCTGTATGTTTTATGATGTACAAGAGGCAATTGATATTTCCTTAACAGGGTGGAAAATTAACATTTATGTGTTCTTGTATGATGCAAAATATTACTTCAAAACTTACACTTTTCATGTAAAAATGCCAATTGTAATTACTTTATAATGTTTTATTCCCACATCCGCATGCTAATGTAGTTACTAATAAGATAAAAAAACATGATGGAATTTTTTGTCCTGCTCTAGGGGATGGATTGGAGTCTCTTAAAGAATTGATTATCACTGTGGGATTTCATGCACACAAGGTGTTTGTCATATTGTCTGAAAGAACCTAATAACTGTAAAAGTAGCATTTTATGTGAAAATCCTTAACTTTGAACCCTTATCAAGCCAAGCATTAAGGCCCTTATGTAAAATTGAATTTCACATCTCAATAGCCAAATAAGTAACGAACAGTCATATTAAAAGTGATAAACTTAAGTCTTAACCATTAAGTCCTTAATAGAACACCGAAAAAGATTTAAAATCCATTACGATCAATTTTCCCAAATCCGTTCTCTAACTTCTAAAATTTGTACAATTCAATAAGAACACCTAGAAACCATGAGACCTAATTTTATTGAAAACTTAATGTGTCTAGTTTCTTTAAACTTTGAATCATATCTCAAAATTCCAAATCCTTAAGGGGTAAAATTGGCAATCTTCTCAGGTTGGTCCATGTTGTCATAGATTTCATGCATTGTTTTTATAAAATCTGCATATTCTTAAAATTTTGAAAATTATTTTTTTTTAAATATGAAAATTTGATTTATTATGTTAATTTTTAGATATTTTTATTAATATTTCCAATAACGCAAAAAATCAAACATTAATTAGGAATGTTAAGATTATGATCATGACCTTAAGGGGTTAATATCGATTTAACGCTCCACATTTAGTTATCGGGTTCTTGGGAAATTATAAGTTCTCAATAGATCTCATATATATATATATATATATATATATATATATATATATATATATATATATATATATATATATATATATATATATATATATATAGAGAGAGAGAGAGAGAGAGTTAGGTTAAAATATCTTTACTATCTATTGTCTGCATGTAGGATTGATTGTAGACCAATTATTTTAATTACTTTAAGAACGTAATTAATGTATATTAAATCCTGAATATTTAATTAATATTCATTATATCTTCAACATTAATATGTATTAATTACTTTCTTAAAATAACTAAAATGATTGGTCCACAATCAATCTTACATGCACACAATAGATAATAAGAACACAATAATCTAACCCGATATATATATATATATATATATATATATATATATATATATATATATATATATATATATATATATATATATATCGGGTTAGATTATTGTGTTCTTATATATATATATATATATATATATATATATATATATATATATATATATATATATATATATGGGTAAAATGAATAGAAAATACATAGATGTTTGGAAACCCTAAACGTAAAAACACTATTTTTATGTTATAACTCTGCAGTGAATTTTGTATACACAACTTTTTTTATTATTCAATGATGAATAAATAAATAGTTACATATTAAAACTAAAATTAGAATTTATTACAAAAATGAACATACATAAATTTATAATAGAATAATAACATGTAACGAATACATGAATAATCAAACGTTAATATTTATATTAGAATTATTTCAGCAATACACATATAGAACATTTATTACATAATAACACCATAAACATAATGTTTTTACGTTCTCACACTATTTACTGTTTTTATTTGAAATTACTTTTATATATATATATATATATATATATATATATATATATATATATATATATATATATATATATATATATATATTAACTTGATTATTTTGATCATGTGAAACACATTCATTTTTGTATTCTTAACTTTTTTTAGTATCTTAATGTGTGTATTTATCATATCATTAATTGAAACAAATGGTACGCATTTTATAATTAAAGTTAAGAATTTGTATAGATATTAGCATATATCTATCATGAAAAATTAAATATCTTCCTACATTTTGTTATGAACCATCATCATTTCATAATCTCATATAAAATGATAACATGTGAAATCCATTAATTTTCTCTGTGAACTCCCCTTTTGAATTTGACACATGTCTCCCCTTTTGAATTTGACACATGTCTCCCCTTTTGAATTTGACACATGTCTTCACATGATGCGTAAGAAAATTGGTAGGAGGATATTTGATTTCTCATCTATCATATTAATCATTGGTGGTGTCAAATAGGATGAGCGTGGTACGGTTTATTAGGGTTATTGGCCAAAACCGAACCGATAACCCGAAATGCAATTATTAAATTTTAGAAACCTCATGGTGTGGTTAGTCTTGCAGTGTGGTTATACGGTTATTTAATGTCGTTTGGTTATTTGCGGTTACAATTACAGTTATTAACCGCATGAGTTTGATGCAGTTACATGGTTATTTAATGTGGTTATGTTATGCACAAATACATAAATGTAGTAATTTCAAAATCTAATTTCATGTGTATGATTTTTGTAAACACAATGTGAAACAAATGCACAGTTGACGTTAACAAACAATTTGAAACAGAGGCACACATGCATAAAGCTACTGATTTAAGTGATTGAGTGAGGGTAGATCAATTTTGTGAATCACGTTCAAACATAAGGCCCTTTTTTAATTAGAACTATCAATAATAAAGTAAATAATATATAATCCCCTTCCCCTATTCTAATAAATAAAACCATTTTTCGCCACGTGGCAGTCAATTAGCCATCCCCCAGCGAATTTTCCCGCTTACAATTTCTATGTGAAGATCCAAAAATGCTCGCTCGTAAAACCACATCCGTCTCGCTCTGATATTGGAAACAATTAAAAGTTTCCAACTTCTCAGCGATAAATCAGCTCCTAAATTCCAGGGACGGTTGAAATGAATCGTTTCCAAAGTTTATTTATACACTTGCAATTCCATACCCATTCATTTTACGCAAATTTTGTTGTCGGGCATTGAGTAGGAGCCGAAATTTCAACTCTTAATTGATTACAAACCGGAGATTTGATTCAGTCGAGCATTGCAAAAGGAGACGAAGACGATGGTAGCTATGAAAAATCAGAAAGTATATGAGTGGTTTCACGCACAACGCTGGAAACAAATCTAAGTTTCCAACTTCAATCCAAGAATTCGCTCCTCAGTCACCCAAATTTTCGTGCTGATTAGTAATATTCGGATAAATCCACGAAATCATGTAGGTAATCGTTTCCTATTTTATTCTTCATTCTCTCTATTTTTGCAGAAACTCCAATCCAAATCTGGAATCTCCTTCCCAATCGAATACATATTTCTCCATAAACCCTAATTATGCCCAAAGCATCTCTTCTGCCACAATCACCGCCACTACTTATTTATCTTCATATGACGCAGCCTGGGTAGCTATGATTCCTTCTCCAAACTCTACAAAGATCCTTTTCAATGATGATGTCGTATTATAATGGCTCTAAAAAGCAGATTCCCTCTTTATTCCTTCATCTTTCTATAACGCTTGTTTTCAAGGGTTCGCTTTCATAAAATATGTCATTTTCAGTCTTAGGTAACCTCTCCATGACTTGAACTAAAAGGACAAGAAATTCATGATGAGATACGTTCAATTGGATGATGTGAATAACCTTCTTAAAAGGGTGTTGATGCTTCTGGCTTTAGGGGATCAATTTCTTGACGAAACATCAATGAATATCGCACAAATCACATCATCCGTCATGTTGGTTCCTTCGTCACAAGGGGCACATTGTTCGTGGTTGGTTAATTAGCCATACTTATTTATCATGATTTATTACTTTTTCGAGTTCTATGTTTTGAATATATTTCTTTTTGTTGATGAAAGGTCCAATTTTCACTTTTTCCCCTTTTACAAACAACATGAATTTAGGTAAGATTTTTTTTTAATGAACCTATATTTTTTGCTCTTTCATTTTTTTAATCATTTCCCAGTCTATCTAATCTTCGTTCGTTTTTTTCCTGTACTTACTCTGTTTGGCTTCATATCTACTCATATCTAGGCTACAACAAATTTTTGTGGTGTGTATTTTTAACTTTAATGTTGGACAAAGTTTTGTCATATATTTTTCAGGAAAGAACTTAACTGATAAAATATGAGTTGCCATCATGCTCTCCTTGGGAAGAAGGAAATGTCAGCTCGAAAGAAGGCCTTTAATCAAAGTAAGGTCATCTTACACTTTCCGCTTACTAGGGTTCTTTATCAGGTTTAGTAACCACTAATCATTATTTATGTTGATTCTTTTTGAGTTTTACATTAGCAGATCTTTGATGTTGATTCTTTTAACATCAATGAGTTTATGGTTTTGAACATTATTAACTATGGTGAAATTGACAAATTTACCCTTGCAAATGTTGTTGTCCATCCAATGATCAATCCAACACATTTGCCTTAGCTGGTTAAGCAAAACTACATTCACAACCTGTAACTTCCTAAAAATGGTATATATATATATATATATATATATATATATATATATATATATATATATATATATATATATATTAATGGGTATCATGATTATTAGTTATTCTTATCATGTGAAATTTGTAGAACTCTGTATCTTTAGAGGAGTTTCTTGAAGTTGATTTCCTTGTATGAGTTATCTTCTTATTTTGTCAATCTGTTAGAGTATTATATAACATGTATACAATTATTAGAATATATTATTATAGATTTAGTAAAGAGTATTAATGATAAGCATTTGTAAAGAAATTAGTGTTTGAATCACAATTTAATGTAAAAATAATTAGAATTGATGTCCCACGTATTATTAACATGTCATAGATTTTGCTATATTATACTAATTATGATATCTTTGACCCATTTTTAAAGAGATTAATTATGTGCAAGATGACCTATTATTTTCCTAAAAAACTATGTTGACAACAAACAATTGATGGTCAAAGCTTTGAAGCACTCAAAGAAAAGGAAAGTGTCTGTTTTGGGAAATCCCAATGTGTGTAAGCTTCATATTTCATGAGCTCTAATAAATTGTAGTATTTTGACAAATATCAATATACTTTTGTTTTTTTATTTATTTCTATAATATATTTAGACTTATGTATGTGTTGGCTGCACTTTGTTGCCGTTTTAGGTTGGATAATGGATGGTAGATATGATAATATTCTCATCATCTTTACTGTAAAATTACCATTTTACCCAATTTATAAAACTTCATGTTTTCGAATGTACTGACACTCACATAGTAGGATGTTGTTTTCACAAACACAAACAATAACATCCATAGACAATCACAAACATTCATAATGTTTGTCAAAAAAAGAAGAAAATCAAGTATAATGCCATATTTAACAAAATATAAAATGGAATTATGATTCTATATTTAACAAAAAAGAGTGTAGATTGCTATGAAAATAGGATGCTATAAAGTATATAGTACATTAGAGTAGCATGTTATAAAATACTTGAAATCATTTTAGTCAAATGTACTTTACAGGATCCTGCTTTCATAGCATGTATTCCTTCATAAGAATTCTCATTCCATCATTTGATGTATTCCTTCAATAAAATTTACCAAAAAACATACAATTAGTATAGATAAAAATACATCAACACCTCAAAACAGATCATGCATCTTGATTGTTTTATGTTTCATCCCACATTCCTCCGTTTCACTTTCCATTTCACCACTTTACCATGCGACCTTCATTCTTGCCAACGTCGTATCCCAACAAAATATTGCTTCAGTCGACATTTCATGCTTTATCGATTATTTCATGTTCTAACACGTGTAATCTTAGCTTCAAACAAGATTGCTTTGATGGATGATTTTGCTTCTGATATCTAATCTTTATATGTACAAATGTATATTTTTGTGAGAAATAAGACAAGCAAGTGTGGCCATTTTCGTATATCGGCCATAAATTAAGGATAAAAATTGGGATGATATGTCTGTGTTTAGCGATTCAAGTCATTTTTTTAAAAAAAAATTATATTAATTTGATATTTTAATTATATTGAAAAGTAATAATATTTAATTTTAAATTATTTTTTGTTTATTTATTTGGTAACAGTGAAAACAACTATGTATAATAACTTAAAATTGATATTTCTTATTTATTTAACCTTTTTCAAAATGTCATTTTATCTATATTTATATAAGAATCAACATATGCTTATAGTATGGTAATATATAAATCGTTTAACTGTTTAACATAATAGTCATTTACATAACTACCCTGTATTTTTAACTAACACCATTTTATTCCCAATTACTTGTAATTTTTGCAAGTATTTCAATATTGTTTTTAAATCTGGATAACAAACATCATGTTTGTTGATTCACATTTAAGGATCCATTTTAAATTATTAATAAATCTAATATTTTATAAACATTTTTACGTGTGGTTAATTCACATTTAAGGATCCATTTTAAATTAATAATAATTTAAATGTTTTATAAACATTTTACGTGTGGTTGATTCAAATTTAACGATCTATTTTAAATTATTAATAATTTAAATGTGTTTTATAAATATTTTACCCGTGGTTTCCACGGGTTATAACCTAGTATATAATTATTTAAAGTATGTAAATTAGCGATTTGGTTAGTTTTTTCGGTGTGGTTCGATTATTTGCAGTTTCTATAAAATAGTAACCGCATCCCACAGAAAAAGTTTCAGTTTTTCAAAATTGAAAACCACGCTCTTGGTTATTGTGTAGGTTCGGTTTTTAATTGTGATTTGGTTTTTGCTCATCCTAATATCAAGTCTCTTTGTTTTTTTTTAATTTTTATTTTCTACTATATGCTTTATTTGGCAACTAGACTTTTAACCCTAGTTTCCACAAAAGGATTCGTTGCAAAGCTCATAAACACTTCTTGAATATTATTTTAAACAAAATATTTGGATAAAAGAATTGCATAATTCTTCTACATTAATCAAGTCAAAAGATTTTTGTGGCAGTGCTCATATAATATGTGAAGAAGCGTTCTAAAATTTCAAATTCATGTTTGCAAAAATAACCAAAGTATTGCTATGAGCATGTGTTCATGATTTGGTCAAGTACAGTATACGAAGTTTGGATAAAAATTTAAAAATTGTTCCCAATTTATACAATGCTATTCTATTACTGTTTTTCTATGAAAGATGCTATTTCTATCAATGTACTACGTACGATTAAAAAAAGGTCACGTTGGCCAGCTAAACAATCGTACCATAGGATGAAAATGAAGACAAAATATCTCAAATTAGAATGTCAAAAGGAAGCCCAAATCTTTAATATCCCTAATAAAAAGATTCATGCTAGACAACCTGACCCTCACAACCCAGGAAAGCGAACATATATGTCCCTCACAGAGTACGTGCTTGTGTACCTAACTAAGTAGACCAGGTATAAGTAAAGTGGTGATTTTCTCAATATATTAGATTATCTTGTATTTTTTTTTGTTTATCTTTAGACTTGGGGAAAGTCTCATAGCTTTAGCTTGTCTTCTCCAGCGTTGTGAAGGGGCTCTAGTGAGCTCCCTCTTAGCCAAAAAAAAAAAGACAAAATGTTGATATTTTCTTAGCAGATTGTTGTTTTGGTATTTTACAATGCACACCAATTAAGCACACCCCTTTACTCTTTTCGATCAATGCAAATGCAAAACTTTGTTTTCTTCGGCAAAGACATGTGGAAATAACCATAGCATGTAGGATCTGACGTCGATGTCAACCACAAATACAATATTTTTTTTCCTAAACGGCAACAAATTTTATTTAAAAAATAATATTGTCAATGTCAACTTACAAACCAACAAAATACATACGTTTAAGCAATGAGCATTGCCTTATTGTTTCCATGAAACAAGGCTACAATTACAATACTCAAATCCATAAAAAAAAAAAATAGAGTTAACTATGTGATTTGGCATTTCATTCTTGGAATCTAACTTGAAGAAAGCGACATGCATAGTTACATTATAATTGTTTCTTGATACATAAGCAGTAGGCTGTGGTCTCCATTGTGGCAACACAAAATGGCAAGACCTGATCAGCAGCCTCAATCTCAATCGGATGATCCCCATGCTCAAACTCAAATTCAACTTTCTGAGAGTTATCAAACCGAGGATCACAGTCAGGTTGAAATTGTGAATCACTCGGAATCCCAGGTTACTAATCAGACTCCCATAAGCTCAGTGCAAGTATTGGCCATTGTCTCGTTGACTATCAGAGTAGCTACTTGGATATGCCTCTTGGCATCGCTAATCGTTCTAGCGTCTGACACTTCTACCATCAAAGGGCTCTATAGAAACGTAAAAATCGGGTTCAACGATATCTATTCTTATAGGTATCTCTCTTTCTCCTCAAATGTGAAATTTTAACTCATGATTTCACAGGTTTTGAGTCTCTTTCTGTTCCTCTACATACACACACACACTAGGATATACACGTTACGATTTGATTACAAGTATATATCGACTTCAGGTACATGATGTCAGCCATAGTGATTGGTTTTACGTATACATGTGTCCAACTACCCATCGAGATATACCAAGTAAGCATGGGTAAACGTGTTATGATTGGCAATGGGCTCCCTATGATCATCTTTTTTGGCGACAAGGTAAATAGTTATATACTTTCGTTTTCCACATGTTGCATGTATTAGAATTTTTTTGTTTAATTCTAATGATATATGATTTGGCTTTAACATTGGTAAAAGTAATGCCAGACCTATTAAATATAGGGATATTCATAAATATTTGACCATTAGGATCAGAGGATTTAATCAAAACATATATTTTTTTTTTTTCGAAAAATGAACTATTTGTTCAGAAGAGCCTTTTTCTTAACATTTGGATCTCATAAGCAAACCCGAATTTCTAGAATAAGTCTGAAATTTTATTTATATTTTTGGAATTACAAGAAAATATTTATTTTTGTTGAAATCCAACAAAAAGCTAAAGAACTATGGTAAATAAGAAGTAGAAACGATACAAGAGCTTAAAATTAATGATATTTGATTGAAAAACAAGTAATATTAAACACTTCCAAATTGTGATTTAGGAAATGAGTAGGGGCTTGTGAAAAAGTGTTTAATGTAGACGAGGAAAAAAAACATTATATATTACCACTTAGTTTCCAATGTCTTGTTCATATTTTGGGTCTGGACCAAAATAAAATGTAGGTCTTTTTATAATAATTCAATAACCGAAAAAAAAAAATTATTCTCATTATCTTCTAAATATAACAATTTCCATAAAAAAATTAGATCATTTTAAAAGATGGGCTTTGAACGATCGTCCCTATCGTCGTATCATATTTATGTAAAGTGTTAAACAAAAGGTCATTTTGGTTAATATCTCCAAAAATGAACATTTTTTTTTGTTAATATCCATTGAATACATATGATGTTCCATAAAAAGCATAATATGATAGCAAGAAACATACATAAACTATGTAGTGACCACTTAAATTAATATTTCATTTTCGCAGATGTAAAAGCATCGTTTATCCTCTTATAGTGTAAGGTACAAGTATTGTGTTTGATACCTTTATACTAAATGTTCTGTCATCTACATATTTTGTAGTTCCTATTATCTATGTTAGCAACGGGTGTTGGTGCAGCATTTGGTGCTACATTTGATTTGAAGAAAAACCTTGATGACTTGGATGACTATCTAGAGTCCATCGGTGAACCACTTTTTTCTCAACTTCGAACAAAGCTTGATAACTTCTTCAACATGGCTTATGTTTCATCTGGCTTACTTCTTATTGCATTCTTATGTTCGATAGCTTCTTCTATTTTATCTTCATTTTCCTTTCAAAAGAAATGATCATAGGGACCAATAAAGGTACGTGTTGGACTTAGTTTATTGAAGAAGTTAAAGATGCTATTCGTGTATGATTTCTTTGTTTTAACTATTTGTATTTTGAAAACTTTCACTTCCAATAGTACTTGAAATCATAAAAGATAATGGATATTGTATGGCCACTGTAAAACTATCAATTCCAGTGTTGGTGCAGCATTTGGTGCTACATTTGATTTGAAGAAAAACCTTGATGACTTGGATGACTATCTAGAGTCCATCGGTGAACCACTTTTTTCTCAACTTTGAACAAAGCTTGATAACTTCTTCAACATGGCTTATGTTTCATCTGGCTTACTTCTTATTGCATTCTTATGTTCGATAGCTTCTTCTATTTTATCTTCATTTTCCTTTCAAAAGAAATGATCATAGGGACCAATAAAGGTACGTGTTGGACTTAGTTTATTGAAGAAGTTAAAGATGCTATTCGTGTATGATTTCTTTGTTTTAACTATTTGTATTTTGAAAACTTTCACTTCCAATAGTACTTGAAATCATAAAAGATAATGGATATTGTAAGGCCACTGTAAAGAAATGATCATAGGGACCAATAAAGGTACGTGTTGGACTTAGTTTATTGAAGAAGTTAAAGATGTTATTCGTGTATGATTTCTTTGTTTTAACTATTTGTATTTTGAAAACTTTCACTTCCAATAGTACTTGAAATCATAAAAGATAATGGATATTGTATGGCCACTGTAAAACTATCAATTCCAGTTTTAGAATCTGAGACTATAAGAAGATTCTTACTAGTGGCGAAGCTAGATGAGCGTTGGGGATGCAGTTGTACCCCCAAATTAAAATTTATAAAAATAAAATATATATATTTAAAACTATACATATTAATTTTATTTATATATGTAAGCTTAACTACCTTGTACTCTCAATTCAAAGTATTAAACGTTGCTGCTTGCTTTTTTTTTCTTCTCATGAATCAAAATGATTGCTACCAAGAGTTTAGAGACAATAGTAAGATCAATATTCCACCTTCAATTCGAATTTCTTTGTTAAAAAATATAATTTCAAGAGACTTCATAATTTATTCAGATTTTGATTGTTTAATTGTTATTTTAAATTTCGATTATGATTGTACCCCCATATTAAATTTTTTGGCTCCACAACTGTTCTTAGTACCTTTGTGACCTATTGAATAGGCTTATGTGTGCCAATGAAAGCTTAGCTCGTGTGACCGAGCTAAAACCATTAATTCCAATAAAGTGTTTTAGTACATGAAATCATAAGAAGATTCCAATTACCTATTGTTGAATATGGTAGGATTGTCAACAACTGATAAAAGAGCCGCTTATAGGACTAAACTAAAATTGTGGAAATTCCAAATAAAATGTTTTACTTAATTATAAGAACATTTTAAGTAACCCTCCCCCCCGCCACCCCCCCCCCCGACGGTAACTTGTCGAATTGGCTAAGGGTTCTAGTGGATTTTATGTAGGATCATTTGTTGGATCTTTGAAATATAGATTTGGATTATGGATCTACATTGCATGATTCATTGATCGGTTCCAAGTAGAAGCATAGTGCGAAGTAGTGTGGGCTCTTATAAGCAGAGAAGAGCTAACTCCATAAAGATTCTAGTGTAAGTGTAAGAAGTAGTATCAAGAATGGTAAAGTGTCACCTTTAGTTATAGCGTGGGAAAGGATAGAAAAGAGGAAAATAAGGATAAGCACTCTAGGCTATAGAATATGGCCAACCTAGTCCATGACAATGGACAAGGCTTGCCATGGGGAAGGATTCATGTATACCATAGGCACATGTCCATGGTGCGTCAAGAAGCCCACTAATATTATGTCCTTGATTATTAATGAGGTTGAATAAAAAGACACTCCAATTTTACTATTTTCCAAGCCCAAGGTCCAACTTACACTCCAAAGGCCAAATAGTCAACCAATGGGCTAAAGCCCAACATATGGCCTAATTTTCCAAATTAGGCCTAGAACTCTACATGGTCTTTCCTTAAGGTTCGTTCAATTATTCTAGTCCCAACTATTTGTATTCCCATGGCCTAATATCACATAATCATAAGGGCCCATTTATGGCCCAATTTTCCAAATTAGGCCTAAAAATCTCACATGGGCATTGTCCTAAAACCCATATAATTATTTAGTCCATTTGCTTATTCTTGGAAAGCCCATTAATAGTCCAATCGCCAAGGCCCGATAAAAAGGACCAACACAAAGTCCAAGTGAAATTAGGGTTTCACATAAAATAACAATTAGGGTTAAGTGTTTCTCACTTAACCTATTAAGGACTTAATCCATTAATAACTTAATCCATTAAGTCCATTCTTGCCTTAAGTTAGTTTGGCAATGATTATTAATTATTATTTTAGGTTTAATAATTAATTCTCACGTGTGTCCCAAACAATTCCCACATGTAGGGTTTTATGCCCTTAGGGTTTTCCAAACCCTGATTAGGGTTTTCCTACCCAATACTAGCCCATTAGTCTATTGGTTGGGCATTTAGGTCACATTGGGTCTTATTGGCCCCTTAGGGTTTGATTGGGCCCAGTAGGGTTTCTTTAGGCCCATTAGATCTTATAAGGCCCACTAGGGTTTTAGTCCCTTGATCCCATAATTTCCTTTCATAATAAGTCCCAAAATTACCAACCAGCGCCTTAAGCCCTCAAATCTTTTCAATTTAAATCCATTAATTACCAAACACACCCTAACTTCTGAAATCCTTTTCAAACAAATCCTGAAATTGCACTTTAGCCCCCGAGACTCTAAATCATGACATTTGGCTTCCCGAACCCAACACCCCGCTAATTATGATTTGATTTGGGCTATAATAATTTTATACAATAATAAAATTACTTCTCGGGGTTTCAAATTTATTATTACTTATTCTATTTAAAACGGGATATTATAACTCTCCCCCACTTAAATTTGATTTCATCCTCGAAATCATTTATTATCATTCCTTACACGCCAAACAACTTGAACTACTTGGCTATAATCCCGAGCATAACCCTAGCCTTTGCAAGGAAACCGCAACAAACCCTCGCAGGGTTTTGAAACCTGAAAATAAATGAATTCCTTGCAATATGATCACATTTACTCAAACCGAATTTTGAAGTCTTGAGATGGTCTGGCTTCTTGAAAGACTGCCCACACTAGATCATTATTGGTGAATTTATTGCACTTATCTCCCAACTAGCTACTCAACTGTTAATAACCTTGGGTCCTCACCCGTAAATAGAATCACAAATTCCACAGTGAAAGCTCTAATTCTTTTCTTGACGAGAGATTAGGTACTCCTTCAAGAGAAACTCGTTTTGATAACCAATTCCCAGTAATATAATGAAAAACGGAATGTAAACTGGGAGATGAACCTATTTTGGATCAACATAATAATGTTTCCTTTGGTTCCTGAATCACATACATATAATGACCGATTCATAAGCTCAAACACTCATACCTGGCCCAATCAGCCTCAAGCTGGAATACCAGGTATGCCCACGACGGGTCCAGTCATCCCTGGTATGGAATACCCTCGTATCACACACATGGTTGGTCCAATCAACCCTTGGGTTGGAATACCAAACACATCAGGTCCACTCAATCGTAGGATCCTGTCATCCTCATGATGGAATACCCTAGATTGGAATACCACTATATACATAACTTGGGTGTAACCTATAACTTGAATTCCAAGGACCTATCCTTGCATCTTATCCAAAAATCCTCTGATTCGCCACAACCGAGTGACACTCATCTGAAATAGCGGGTTCCGGCCTGGTCACGGGGCTAAAGGTCTCCCACATACTTACCTCACACGACTTTCGAACGAAATTCTTCCCTGGAACTAGTTGCCACTACTTATCATGCCACTGCGACTCTAACAACCTCCTGATCCAACCAATCAGACCCATATGTCGTATCCCGTCGTTACCAAATCCATGGCTAAAAGCAATTGCTACATGACCAATGGTAGCCTTACATCACAAGCAACCTTAAGCAATCCATTGCTTCCTTGATCTAATAACTGTAGTGACGTTCCTACAGTCTTACCACTGGATTAATCAGGTCAAATCCCTCTGGGAAAACCCATAAACCTATCCGTGGATTTTCATATCCTTACTGCTACACCCGAACTGGTGGTTACTATTATCCCTTGCACGTCCTAACAATGTGCTCATACTACCTACTAACTCAGTGAATGTTGCGACTACTCCCACAAACTTGAATCTCTCTAGCACTATCTGCTAACTTGGTGAATGCTACAGCGACACCCGCAGTCTTACAACACCTATCACACTATCATCTAACCTGGTGAATGCTATGGTTACACCCAAAGACTTACAACACTTCCCATACTACCTGATCGCTAGTGAATTCTATGGCTACCCCCGTAGTCTTACAACACTTTCCTTCTACTTGATCCCCAGTGAATGCTACGGCTACCCGCACAGTACAACACTTTCCATACCGGTCGAACACACACTCGACCTAACACACAACTAAAATTAATTCATGGCTAGAATCCCAATCTAATCCCCAAAATTTTCTATCAAGCACCGAGAAGACATGATTCCTATGCTGGGAAGTCTTACCGAACTCCTAACTCACACAATACTCTAACCAAATAGCCACTAGGGTTGTCTTCCTTCCTGAAAACGATGCGAAACATATCCCAGTTTCAAAGCCGATCCTGCTTTAACATTCCAGGATGATTCTCCCCCACTTAGATTCAACTAAGTCTTCATAATACATGAAAATTTGAGAATTCTCAATCCTTCTCGCGTTCCAACGATCGATCTACTGACAACCAAACCTTTCCAAATAGTACTCCTTTAATAGCCAACCCCAAATGATCACACGTTTCTAATAACTAAATGAACACTTCCTGAATCCCAGTGAAACCAACAATCCTAATAATGTTGAATAACCATCCTATGGGACTTTGTCCACAGACCTCCCACATAAAAATCCCATTTTCCCAAGGTGCT